TATAGACTGCGATATAAAACTTTGTTTATGTTTAATTGAAAAATATGAAATGTGGAAGTATTAATAGATCTTTAGTTAATTACATTCTTCAAAAATTTTGAAAAAAAAACTCTTTTCTTAAAGAAAATTAAAAAAATCGTTTTTCTCATGTGGTCACTCCTATTTTTTTGTGGACAACTGTATATACAGATAAGTTTATACGTAGGTTTGTGTATACATTATTTGCCATACGCACATATGTATGTACAATGTGTATTTACAGGTAGAATAGCGCGCGCATATTATTTCACTGATAAATGATAATATCTTGATTTGAAACTGATTTGTACTTACATTTGTACATACATACATATGTAGCAAATATATGCATAAATATGAAATTATATTACATTATCAAAGATAAGAAATATTTAAAAAGTAGCTCATTTGCCCATTAATTACAAAAATTGCTTGGAGAATTGCATAAATTAAAAATAATGTTATCAATTTGCATGAATTCATAAAAATTCGCAAAATCATATTCATATCAATTGATATGATAGCATGTAAACGTATAAAAATATAAGCCAAAAGGCCAACATGCGTCTGTAAACGCAATGTACATTTCAGAGCATAATTTTGATTGAATTCTCAGCTCTGTTCACTCATGTATGTTAAAGTTTCTCCTTCCGAGCCAAAAGTGGTGAAATCCACTAATAGAAAATTCATGACTCTTGACAGTTGAACCTTCTCTATATTATACGTTCTCTGACAATTCTTGCAGGAGCAATTTATTCAATTTTAGCTACAACTTCATACATTTATTTTAATCCGTTCTCCGCTTAAGAGTTCTGTAACGCAGTAATCTATCTATCTAATCTTAAAAACAATTTTATTTTTCATAAAATTGCTGTGAATTTATAATTATATTTCTTTTATTTTCAAACTGAGAAAAGTGTGTTAACGCTGCTGCACTCAGGAGGCAATTAAAACTAAATGCACACATGTATGTATAACTGTTTTCTATGTAAACCTTGATCGTTCGAACTTATCTTGCTTAACGGTGCTTTAGATGAAATTAGTGATGAAAAGTAAAGCGTTGGGAATAAACATAAATACAAATAAAAAAAACGGCATAGTCAAAAAATATACTGCAAATACCACAACGAAAACAATTTTTGCACAGAAGATTTGGCACAGCGTTCTACTGATATTTTTTTAACATACAACATATTTTCCTTAGTTAAACTCATTTTGTTATAACAATTAATATTTAATTATACTTTTTAATTCACATTGATACAAAAGATAAATTTCTACGACACAAAAGTATTGCCACAGTTAGTAAATTATAAAGAGAAAACCCATTATGCTATTAAATTAATAATTGGTGGCTACACCATTGATGACAACTTCCAGACTCCTTTGCATGGAATAAACTAATTTTTGGGTGGTTTGCTTAGTTATTTGTGTCATTCCACAACTTTCTTCAACTCTAGTTTGATAGCAAACGGCTCGCTTTCTCATCCGCCTTTCCAACTCCTACACACAAATGCTCAATTAGGTTGAGGTCAGGAGATTGTGGAGGATGGGACAAAGCGTATGGGGTGTTATAGGTTAACCACATTCTAACAATATGGGCCGAATGCATTTCAGCAAGGCAATGACCCGGATTGGTATATTTAGTTTTTGGGCACTTTTTTCAAATGATACACATGCAGCACACCATTACAGGACCACCACCGTTTTTCACTGTTGAAGCAAGATTTTGTTTTTCAAGTGTTTCAGTGTTTGGCTTTTTCCACAACGAAATACGACTGCCGCCCAGATAGCTATTGTACTTACACTCATCTAAGAAAAGTACTTGGTCCCAGAATGAGTTTGGTTTTTTGATATACTCGTATGCGTAGTTTAGGTGCTTCTTCTGGTTACGTAAAGTTATGAATGGATGTTTTCGGCCAATTATAACCAGCCGCAAGTACTACTCTTCTAACGGTCATTACATGAATAACATTTCCAAATTAATTTTTCACCTCAGCAGAAATTTGCGTAGATGATATATGGATCTATTTTGACTTTCCGAACAATGTGCAGCTTTTCGCGATGGCTTAAAACTCGAGGCGGACCGGTATGGCCAGCACTTTTTAAAAATGGTGCTTCTTTAAATCGCTTTATGATGTTGCGAATTGTGAACCGGCTTCTGTCCTTCATTTCACCTATTTCAGCATACTACTTGCCTTGGTTGTGCAGATGTAAATTTAGTGGTTTCTTTCAGTTTTGAAGAAAAATTAGTTTATCACGTTATTAAACACAAAAATGAATTTCACAAGGCCAAAATGATTCACAATTAGAACAACTGTTAATAAATCAAACTAAAACTGTTGAATATTCGAAAAAGAAGTGGTCAGAATGAATAATATTTAATTAATAAATCGGCTAAGTAATGTAAGTTAAAGTAAAATTGAAAATGAATTTTTATAAAAAAAATTAGTGTATGTGGTAGTTAATTGATTTAAAAATGCGAAATATGTTTACGCTAAATAACCTACTAGTTCGCTTATTTAAATTCAAAGTGGTTGCTGTGCCAAATCTTATGTGCGGCACAGCAGCGATTTTACTGGGGTATATTTTTTATTGCTTATTATTTTTATGTTTTGTTGTGTTTACGGCAGTGCACTTTAACTCGTTTATTCCTATGTTATTAGGGGCGCCACTAAGTGCTCGCTGTTTTTTCGTTTAATCTATTATTCGATGTATTGCTCATCGCTGTTCACAACTTTTTGTATCTTTCTTGCAAGCTCAAATTCCATTACAATAAAACTTTTCAATTTTGAGATGGCTTGGCGGGTGACTCCTAATGGTCGTTCTTTTTGCGTTTGACACGGATCCTCGATCCTCATCGGACAACGTCTCCAATTCACCACCTTTGAAGACACGAAACCCTTCACGTAGTTTCAAGTAGGACAGCACATACGTAAAATTTTTGGAGTTCCCGATGTGCTTCAGTCGCCGATTTCTCTGACTGAAAGAGGAAAATAAACACACCCGACAAATGACGATTGTTTGGCAAAACATCGAACATATTCGCACGACCAAAAGTATATGACGCACAAATAAAGGCACTAAGAATCGCAGTCTATTTTACAAATTTCTATGTTAAGTTTTTGATATATAAAACTCGATCACCCTAAATGCTGGAGCCATCTGTTGACAAACAGCGGGAACTTTGTTGCGCACTGTAGTTTATGTATTATTATAATTCTACGTTTATCTGTTTAAGTTGTTAAAATTTGTTTAGCCCTTAAGTTGGGTAAAATTCTGACATGCTGAAATGAAAATGAAACTTCACTTTCATTTGTAAGAACTTCGCCGTTTTGGAAGCGAAGAACGAAATAAGTCTTGTTTTTGATACCCGCTGCATTGATCAGAACAAATTGTGGTAAAAAGGGGCAAGGTGTGGACAATGAAGCGAGTGATGATAAAACTCTACAGCCACTGTTTTCGAAATAGTCTTTAACCGTCCTTCGTGTCCTTCGGAATTGTCGTTGATTTCAGTTGCGGTTAAACGTTTTGAAATATCTGCTTGAGTGACTTCCAAAAATTCTTCAACAATCTTTTTGGAGTATTCCAGTGTCTTCGTTTCCCAGCCAAAATCACCGCTTTTAAATCGTGCGTATAACTTTTGATAAGTTCGCACAGTTAGAGCATGTTCACTATATGCAGTACTATAAGCTTCCACCAAAATATGATGTCCTTCAGGAGAGGTTTTCTTAAACATTTAATAATCAAGTTACGCCATGCTCTTGCAATCCGCACGAATATAGACTCAATAATAATTGAGTTCAATAGCGCCTCCGATAATTAAAATAAAAGGATACAGATACGTACCTAGAAGGACTACCGAAAGATCCGAACATCAAAACGGATAATTATAATAATTGTATGTTTTAATTTTTCGTAATTATAGCCGAAATTACAGCCGTAATATTTGTAGGATTTTTTAGTGCAATTTCTAATAACCGTAAGATTAACAAATCTACTTCGGGCTCGGTAAAAAAAATGCGTGGGTAGTACTCATTAGAATATTAACAAAAAATTCAAAATATACAAGTGACTCTATTTAATAACCTTAAGCCGCTCTATAAACAACATTCAGTTTCTAATTTCATATAAGTAAAATAATAAATATTTAAAATAAGTGTATATAGAAAATTCACTTGTCCGAAATAGCAGAAATATGGTCTGGAAGTTCATTGGCTGCAAACCGATCCCACATTAGTTTAAAAACCATTTCTAAGCCCCTAGCGTATTGGGTGCAATCAAACAATGGACTTTCCACTCGTGCTTTCCACACTTTTGCTCGCATCCCTTTTAGATACTCCCTATCAGTACCCAAACGAATCGCAATGTCTTCGTATTCTTGTCTGGTGTGTGCTATAAGTTCCGGACATCCCAAAGTAGCTAATTGCGATGCAGCAACTCTGTAAATAAAATAATATTATAAAATAGTATGTTTCTTATGATAACAAAATCTACAAATTAATTTCTCATACAGATGTGTATATATTGGTATGCATAACGTCTTGCCTCTTTAGGAATATCCCTGCCAGCCACGGCTAACCATTTTTGTCAAATATAAAATAAACTCCATATTTTTTCTCTACGCGCTAACACCAGCGCACATTTTCGGCTTATTTTTTGTCAACCTAAATGCGATGAAAAAAAGTTTCTTTCATTTCTGGATTTATTTGAATGAGTGCGAAGGAGACATTACACGTAATTGGCAATAGTGCCAAAAAAAATCCCAAAAAGGGTAATAAAGAAACGATTGAAAGACGCATGTCATTCGTGCTCGTTCAACAAGAAGGAAGTGAATGAATTTTAAGCGATTTTTTAACAATATTTCGCAAATAATTACTTCATTTATTTTTATAGTATTGGAAATCAGAACTGAATTGTAAATAGCAGCAGCACCAATATCATCAGAAGCAGCAAATATAAATTGTTAAGTATGGGAAAATAATAAGTGTGTGTTGTTTTAAATTGGACTGCGCAGTCCATTATAATACGCAAAAATAAATGCATACATATATACGTATGCGTTTAAAGTGGCCTGCAAAATAAAATATATGTGAACACAAATGTTTTCTTATATTTTAAATAATCAGATAATATTATTCTTTTCTTTCAGGAATTATTATCATTTTATATACAAATACAATAAGTCTTTTATAATCTTTTTTCAGATAATTATTATTTTTTAATTAAATATATTGTGGAAATAACAATTTTGGCTTTAATTTATTTAATTATAATAAAATTTATGTAAATATGTACTAAAAATAATAAAATTAATAATTTAAAAATTAAAAAGTTTATTTGAAATTTTAAAAGTAGGAATCAAAAAATACTACCCTACATTAGCTGTTTAAAAAGAGAAAATGCAACCCTGCATCAGTCGTCGATTGGGGATATTAGAGCAGTGTCTTCAAGGAATGTAACCAGTTTTTCCACTACTTTACTACCTACTGTTTCATTATTTTTTTAACCGCTCGTTGCTGGTAGGGATACACATATATTATACATATATATATATACTTGTATAAAATAGAAAAACTGCAAATAACTCATAAGTACCCAAACGCTAATGAAGAAGTGGATTATTCGAGACTTCAAACTACATCGGTCAATTATTAAAATAGACACGTTGTTGTGACCACAGTCATATAGAAGCATAAAATAGCTCTATTATATCATTTGTAATAACAATTGATAATTGAAAACAAATAAATTTACCTATTTACTTATTTTTTGCATAAAAAACTTCACGTTGAACAAAATATGTATTAAAAATTCATTGAAATGAAAGGTATTAGTATGGCAACAACGAAATTGTGTACATGCAAAATGGACAGCTGTGTTGTTTCGTGTTGTTTTTGTGCTTGATATGTTGCAGCCGTCTTACAAATGTTCATGTTGCAGGCTTCACGCCGCCATTTACACTGTCCTGGAATCATGTCGTGTCCTCTCTATGTGGTCAGCACATAACTGAAGATTGCAAACTACTCTCACAAAGAGCAAATAACGAAAAACTAGCTGAAACTAGCGAGAAAATATGGAAATGCTATTTTTTACAATCATTTCATATCAACACTCGAAAATTAAACCATGAAAATAAACAAAATCATAGCAAATGATTGAAATATATAATATAGTATGATATTAATTGCACTAGCGGAAACTTGCAGGTTTCTCAATCTTTTGCTAGTTTTTATAGGTTCAGAAACAATTTTCCTGCAGAACTTTTGCTAGCTACTAATAGTTAGCAGATAAGAAACAATATTTGTATACATTTTATAATTGTCATTGTCATTTTAATTTTTCGAATTTGTGTCTCCGAAAGTTGTATCATCGTTGGAATCAAATAAAAGACCTTGAATTCAGTATTCTATAAAAGTGATAACTCATATTCAAGGGTGTTGTGGAATCTAATAGTTGTTGGAAGCGGAATTGAAACTGATCAAAAAAATTGGTAGGTGTCGTGAATTCAGATATTATTGGTTTAATATTGGAAACACTCCGGTGAATGAACCTCTAGCCACAATCCGCATCAAAGCCAGGTTCTTCAACACATCGCTGATTTGCGCCCACGCCCCGATGGAAGAGAAGGACGATGTGACCAAATATGCCTTTTATGAGTGCTTGGAACGCACTTATGAGAGCTGCCCCCGCCGCGATGTCAAAATCGTGCTTGGCGACTTTAACGCCAGGGTGGGCAAAGAAGGTATCTTTGGCACTACGGTCGGTAAATTCAGCTTCCACGAGGAAAAATCCCCAAATGGGTTGAGGCTGATCGACTTCGCCGGGGCCCGAAATATGGTTATCTGTAGTACTAGGTTCCAGCAAAAGAAAATACATCAAGCTATCTGGCTGTCCCCGGATCGAAAAACCACCAACCAGAACGATCATGTTGTGATAGACGGAAGACACGTTTCCACTTTTTTAGATGTGCGTGCGCTCCAAGGTCCTAACATTCGCACCCGCCTCTGTGCAGCAAAAAACGCACGCCACCAAACGACGTCGAGAAGCTGCAATCACAACAGACAGCCGAACGATTTTCTATTCGGCTTGCACTCCTGCTCTCTGAGAGCACTCGTCAATAACTCGGTATAAGGTAACTGTGGAACGGCATATCAAACTCCTTACGTACAGCTGCAACCGAAACCATTGGTTTTCGAAAAGTGCAAAAGAGCAGCTGGTACGACGAGGAGTGCCGTGTTGCGGCGGAGAGAAAACAGGCTGCCTACCTTGCAACGTTACGATCTACAAAAACACGTGCGGGATGGGATAGATCCGGATTTCAACTCTACTCGTCACCCTGATCACTTTGGTATATATAACCCTATATCGGACTCTTTTAGTTTTAGGACTTACAAACAACCCGTATTTGACCAAAACTATAATACTCTCTTTAGCAACTTTGTTGCGAGAGTATAAAAATGCACATCTATATGGCGAGTGTAGGGTTGTGGGTAAATATATGAAAACTTGCTGTAGTGTATTATTGGCTAACTGTATTGCATACTGGAGTTGTAAAATAATATAGTAATAAAGACAAAGAGAAGTTGAGAGTACAATTATTTGAAGCTGGGTGTTTATAAATACAAATAATATATGCCGATAATCTTTATCCGATTGAAATAGTTGGTCCTGTCCTGCTTAGACACAAGTAGATAGTAGTTTGTGATCGCACGATGGGTTCGAAATAGCAGAACGGACTATGGTTTCGCCATAGGTTGTTTCCAACCGAAGGTGAATTTTGGTTTTTGGAATTTTGGTTGGTTTGGTTCAAATAGTTGGTCCTGTCCTGTTTAGACACAAGTAGATAGTAGTTTGTGATATGCATGAAAACCGCACGATGGGTTCGAAATAGCAGAACGGACTATGGTTTCGTCATAGGTTGTTTCCAACCGAAGGTGAATTTTGGTTTTTGGAATTTTGGTTTGAGTTTATTAACACAAAGCAGAATCTTTTAAGCATAGATTTATATATTGCATAACAACACTTTTGCTAGGTATTCCATGCAAGATGATGGCCTACCTACCTACTAAGCAGAGTTAGTTCGCCCTCTGCTAGATATTTCCAAATTAATATTTGAAGATTGAAGTCGCATATATTTGTTGTTAAGTCCAGAAAAATGTAGATGGACTTTTAATATGATGTTCAAATTATGAATGTTTGGTTCAAATATTCAGCGATACTAACAAAACAACAAGAAAAACATTTGCGACTTCCACATATACAATATGTATATAGTACATACATGTATAATGTAAAAGTGAATATTCACTTTTGTCGTCAACCAACGTAAAGAAATTTGGATAACTATGAACAACATAAAATAGGTTTTAAGTGTAATTTATTAAACATTTTTAAAGTTGATCTCGTATTCGTAAAATATTTTCCATTTATACATTATAATACTCAAATTAAAACTCGAAGATATATGTTATATTTCCCTGATTTTCTGTATATTCATCACTGTCATAGTTAAGTTGATTAGAGGACCATTTTGCAAAATTACATACCCTTACCTTTTTAATTGAAAGTATTGTTTGAGAAAAAACTGAATAATCGGTGGTATAGGAGATATGTGATATAGTTGACCCAATCCAACAAATGCTTCAGAGAATCACAACGTTCACCCATGTATTAAATTTCATTCATATGTCCCAAGAACTGACGAAGAAATTTTTAAAATCTCGAAAAATTAACTTTGAGTTAAAAATCGCTGTCTCGAAACCGGTTTTAGACTGAAGCGAAATTGTTCATAATGAACAACGCGATTTTATAGAACACAAATTGATCTGTCTTAGTGTATATATGTAGGTTATACGAGGTGTGTTCAAAAACTATCGCGAATTTTAAATTTTCGCGGGTTACGTATATTCAAATTCCGAATTTATTGTGGCGTTATGTTGGTACTCATGTCTGTCACTTATGCCGACAAGCTCATCCATTTTGAATGTTCATTTAACTGCTGACAGCAGCTTTGCTTGCACGTGTTTTGGATCGTCTTCGATTTTTACCTATTCAAAAAAATGGATCAAAGAACCCGTATCAAACTTTGTGCGAAATTAAGTGCGCGGATGCATTCCGAATGTTGACTGTGGCTTACGGAGAAGCTACCTTGGACCGAAGCAACGTTTATCGGTGGTACAAAATGTTCTCAGAAGGCCGAGATGTGACAAAAATTGGCTTTTGCACCACGATAACGCCCCTGCTCACACATCGTTGCTTGTGCGCGACTTTTTGGCCAAAAACAACACACTAAGATGCCGCAGCCACCGTATTCCAGAGATATGGCCCCCTGTGCCCTTTTCTTGTTCCCTAAACTGAAGAGGCTCATGAAAGGACGACGTTACGCTTCTCTTGACCAGATAAAGACGGCATCGAAGAAGGAGCTGAAGAAGAGAAAAAAAAAATGATTTTTTGAAGTGCTTCGAAGATTGGAAAACCCGTTGGCACAAGTGTATAATATCCCAAATAGATATTCATGAATAAATAAATAATTTTTGAAAAAACACAAAATTCGCGATACTTTTTGAACACACCTCGTATATATACGTTGGAGATTTTCAAAAAATGAGGATTTAAAGCAGATATGCTATATCTCTTACGATGAAGAGTTCAGCAAAAATTCCAGAAACTGCTCTACGTATTTTAAAGTATATGAATTCGAAAAAAACATCCAATTCAAATTGGGTGGGGTTCACATACATACATATTTGTGTTGAAGAGTATCCTAATGTGTCTTATAGTCCTTAGACTAAATTAGTCTCATTATATTAGAGCCATCCACAAATAAGACATATCTGACCTAAAATCAATAAAAGTGGCTTAATTTAATATAATATATTGAGAAGATGTACAAAACGTCTACCAAAGGATATGAATTTAATACATTAGGGATATGAAGCTTAGTCTAAGGTCTAAATCAATTTCATTCATATTAAGCGCTAAACTAATAAGAGAGTTTCTCCACTTAATTTCACTAAAATAGCACACATCTTGACCAACCTACACAGTTAAAAGGTAGGTGGGAAGTCGGACATCACTACTTAAGATATATTGAGAGCAGGTCGGAGTCTATTCCACAAGCTTTTGAAATTACCTAGGTATACCCTAGAACATATTTTCCAGCAATTTTATAAATATGTAACTCATACACTGACGGGCACATTCGGCATAAGGTTTGTTTGAATAAAGAAAATTATTATATATATATGTAGATTTCAGTTTATTTCAATGTAGCTTTAAGTTTATAATTGAACAAGAAAATTAAAAGTGCACGAAAAATTCAAAAAAATAATGAGGCTTCTTTTTACTGCTCGATCTGTCGCGCTCGCCGTCTCGTCTACTACTCGTCGTCTACTCCCCGTCGTCTTCAATTCAGTCAGATGATGCCACAGCTCGCTCAGTCAGCTCGCTTATGATAGAGTTGCCATCCCACATATAGTATACGGCTTGGCTAATTCGGGAACCAATTTCACATAATTTTGGATAAGGTATCTTACATATTGACCAATATATACGATATAAAGCCAAATCTTATATTAAGCATATGGAAGATATTTATTTTTGGCATTACTACATATTACTAACAGAAAAAGATGTTATTTGAGTTCCATTAAGACTCTTTATATACCATCATCAATATATAAGGAGTAATGTCAACTAGATCTTCGTAAAGCATGATTTTAGTTATATTGGGGTTAGGGCGCGTTTTCATCGTTATTAGGTAAACATGCTCACTTAATTTTATAAAAATGGCTCATATATTGGGCGACATATGCATTATAAAGTCAACCGGATCTATTTGGTATATAGAGGCTAAAGTATTTGTTGATCCGACTCAACTTTTTTTTACATACAGCATTCATTCTATTACCCGGAAAAAATTTGCTCCCAAATTATTTAAGCAGATTTTAGCTATATTTTCGATAAAAGTGTGTAAAAGGACTGGGGTTCAGATATTCGATATCTATATATATATATCCTTTTATATTCTCAATTTAGTAGTAAGTGTGTTCTTGGAGTGGTCGTGCGAATTTTCTGAATAGGCAGAAGTTACACGAATGTAAATCAGGCGAATGCGGTGGTTTCGGCACGTTATTAGTTGAAAATATGGCGAAATGATCACGAACCAATGCAATATGAGATGGTGCATTATCGCTCTTCTTTGTACAATAAATTCAGACATAAAGTATAATAGTAAAAAGCGAAGAATTCACTTTTAGAGCTTTTTCCTTCTAAATACAGGACTTACTTTTGTTCGTAAAAAGTACTTTTTCCAGAATTCAATGGAATTATTTAGATATTATTTTAGATAGTAAGTGAAATATATGTACATATACAATAAAGCTATTAGAGGGTAAGGACGCGCACCCTCTTTAAAAAATTATCGACCAGCCTATGCCAATTCTTAATGTAGTACCTTGTACTAAATAATGGTCTTGTACTTTATTGTGAAGCCTTTTATAGGTTTTCGATTAGAACTGTTATAATTTGTAGCAACATAATGTAATATTCTTATTTTCTATTAACGTTGGCCGTTATCTGCTATAAACACAAATACGTGCGCAGAATAAATATTTTATACAGGCATATGTACCAACATATTCTAAAAAATCTAGCACAGTAAACATGCCTCTAATTTGCCGACCACTATAAAACATATACCTTGAAGCTAATGTCTCTCCTGGTAAAGTCACCACAGGCGTTCCCGTCCATAAAACGTCCATAGAAGTAGTATGCCCATTACAAAGCGGTGTATCAAGACAGATATCTGCTAATTGGCCGCGGCGGACATGTTCCTCTTTCGCTGCTACGTTCGAAAATATTACGCGATCACCAGACAACCCTAGAAAACAAAAAAAATTTTATGAATACTTTTAACTTTTTTTACATCAATAAAAAAATGGGTAATACTAATTTCTACCTCAATTTTTCCTAAATAAATTTTCATTTTATCTAAATAAGGACACTATTTACACTTATTACACTTTGTCAATATAAATTATTGGTCGGCCTAGCATAATTCGAAAATCAGTTTAAATAAATGGCATTATTTTTGTCTTTAAGTTTTATATCATTTTATTTGATAATAATATCTTAATCATATAAATATCCCAATAGATTATTTAATAAATAGAACGTTTATATGGAAGATGTAACAATTCCGCCTTGTATTTGTGATAACTTTTCAAAATTTCAGCGGCCCCGATGTAGGCAATGATTTACATATTTAAACATACGAAATTTTAGCAGCCGATGTTATTAACTTTACTGTTGAATGTCACGCAGATTCAATAACTCTTTAATATGTCTTGCCTAGCCTATAGGAATTTAATGCAGATTTTTTTAAATTGTACATTGTTTAATCATGCAATATTAATATACGCATGAACATTGTAAGTTTTTACAACAATATTTCACAACAAATATTATGAAGGTAAATAAAAAAACTTACAACTTAAAAATTTTGGTAAAATCAATTTATTTTATTCAAAATAGTCTCCCTCTGCTTCAATACAGCTTTTTTCACAGTCCAAAAGCGTGTAGATTAAAGTTTATAATTTTTAAATGTTACTTGTTAACAGCAGATAAAATAATTTGCTTAATGGTAAAGAGTGAATCTGTTAGATCAAATGTGCTGGAATAAGAATTCAAATCGTGACATATACGGCGGAATGGTTCGTTTAACTCGAAATTTGTTCTAGAAAAT